TGTGTGGATGTATATATGAATACATATACACAGATAGTAGTAGTGTGCATGTCTACTCCCATATACACTTAATAGAGTTTCCAAAATATATTATGATTGAGGATAAAGAAACACCAAACAATAGTGAAACAGAGTTATATCTATAAAAGGTTGGTTTACATTCCATATACATAAGCTAGTAATGCAAGACTTAATTAATGTGAAATGTTTTTTGGCAAAGCCATGTCATAAGAGAGCCAATTACATAGAAGAACTTTCTTCATTCATAAATAGTGAGTTCAGTTAGCCTGTTCCTCATAACACTATCCTGGCCCAGCAACTTTCTCCTTTCTCCTTCTACTTCATCCATCATCTTATCATACAATCTTTGAGGACCTCTATTTAACCTTTATGTTGTTCAGATAAAAGAAGCCACAGATTACACTGTTTTATCTAATATTAAGAGCCCATGTCAGAATGAGTACATCAGCATATTTGTTTCAGTGGATCATGCATTCATAGTATTCTATACCTTCCCCATTCGATGCCTTAGCTTACCAGATTTGAGTCACAGTAAAAATACAATCAGCTCTCTGGTTTTCTTTTGGATGATGTGAAAGCTATGATTATCATGAAATGCATTTTTAGGCCATAGGTTTTTTTTATTCCTGACTCAGATTTGAATCAGAAAGTTTCAATCCTGGCCCTCCAGTTATTAAAAATTATGAAATTAAATAAATCAATACTAAACTCATTGGTTTTGATCTGGAACTGACTCACAGTTGATCCTTCAGCAGATTTTTCAGAGGGTCCCACAACTAGACACACCCTGGAAACACCTTTCTCATATCATTCATGTTTGTTTCATGGTATTTGCATGCTTATTTGTTTTATGGTTTACTGTTATGATTATAGCACTTACCTGTCAGTATGCTATATTGGGAGGATAACGTGTGTTGCTGCTTATTTTTTAGTGTGTGTATGTATATATGCTTACTTGTTTATAGATTGCTGTTAGGAGTACAGCACTTGTCTGTCAGTTTTATGTACTGGACTGTCTTGGAGGCTGCTATGATGCTGGAAACTCTGCCACTGGAATTTCAAATACCATAATTGTTCCCATTCCCACAAAAGATAATCCAGTGGAGTGTAGAAATTATAGAACTACATCATTAATATGCAAAACCATTAATAAAAAGTAAAATCTTGCTGAAGATTATTTAGAAATGGCTAGAAGAGGACAATGGCAAGGATCTCTTCCAGAAATTCAGGCTGGATTCAGAGGAGGCTATGGCACCAATGATATCATTGCTGAATCTTGATAAAGTCAGATGAATCTTTGTTGAAAGCATAGAATACTAGAAATATGTTTATCTGTTTGTATTGACTGTCCCAAGACATTAGACTGTTTGGATCATAACAAATTAGGGTCAGCAATGAGAAGAATGGTAATCCCAGAACACTTAATTCTGCTCTTCTGAAACCTGGATAAAGAAGCAGTTGTCCAACAAAATGAAAGACCACTGCATGGTTGAAAATAAGGAAATATGTGCATCAGAGTTGTATCTTTGACTATTAACTATTCAATCTGAATGCTTGCATATAATTTGAGAAGTTGAACTATATGAAAAAGAATATAGCATAAGGATTCAAGAAAAATTCATCATCAACCAGTGTTGACACAACCTTATTTGCAGAAAAATAAAGAGCACTTGAACAGAAAGTGTAGAGGACTTGAAATTTACTGAAGAAGATCAATGACTACAGTCTTAAATATGGATTATATTTCACCAACAATAAAACAGAACAAAAATTTTCTCCAGTGGACCAGTAAGCAACGTCATAATAGAGAAAAGATGGAAGTTTCTAATGATTTCATGTTACTAGGCTCCATAATAAACACTTGGGCTAACAGCTGTTTTTGTTGTTGTTATTATGTGCCATTGAGTCCCCTATGACTTTTTGTGACCCTCTGTACAACATTTTTAAGTCTGCCCTGTCCTGAGTCAGTCTCACTGACTCCAGCACACCTACCATCACTGCTCCAGTTATTGTATCAATCCATCTCATCCAGGGTCTTCTTCTCCCTCCCACCTTCCAAGCATGATGTTCTCCAAGGATCAGTCCGTTCTGGCCACATGCCCAAAATATGTGAGATGGAGCTTCAAAATCCTAGCCTCCAAGGAGAAACTTGTTTTTACGCTCTCGGTGACACACCTATTTGTTTTCTTGGTGGTCCATGGTATGTTCAAGACTCTTCTCCAGCACCACAACTCTAAGGCATCATTTTTTTTTCTTTTTCTGTCATCCTCAGTCATTGTCCAGCTCTCTGATGCATAGCAAATAATTGGGAAAACCATAGTCTGGATCGGGTTCACCTTAGTCTCTAGACTGACATCGTTGCTTCTCAATACTCTGGAGAGGTCCCTGACAGCAGATTCACCTAATGCAATTTGTCTTTTGATTTCCCAACTGCTGGTGCAAAGAGTGTTGATTGTGGAGCCAAGCAAGTTCCAAATATTAACAACCTCAATCTCTTCATCCATCATGGTGCTACCAGTTGGCTCAGTGGTGGGAATCTTTGTCTCCTTGATGTTGAGCTTCAACCCATGTTGAAGATTTCAGTCCTTGACATTCTGCAGCAAGTGCTTCAGGTCCTCCTCAGTTTCAGCAAGCAAGGTTGTATCAGCTGCATAATGTATGTTGTCGATGTGTCTTCCTCCAATCCTGATACCACAGTAAAGAAACCAAAAGATGTGATGTATTGGAAAAATCTGCTTCCAAAGGCTTCCCCTAAAGTGCTGAAGAGCATGGTTGTCAGTCTAAAGAATCACCCAAGCCATGGCCTTTTCAATTACTTGCTTACTATGCATCTAAAAGTTGGATATTGAATAAGAATGACAGTAAATGAATAGATGCCTTTGACTTGTGGTGTTGGAGCAGAGTTCTGAATGTCCTCGGAATGCCAAAAAGGCAAACAAAGCCCTGTTGGAGGAAGTGCAGCAAAGGTACTTCATACAAGCAAGAAGGGTGAAACTAGGTCTCATGTATTTTTGGCATGTTGTTAGGAGAGACCAATCCTTGGGGGGGGGGGGGAATACCATGCTGGGGAAAGTGGAAGGTCAAAGAAAGAGAGGAAGACTCCCAATGAAACGGATTAACACAATGACTTAACTATGGGTTTAGCTTATCAGAGGTAATGAGGTTCATGCATGATAGGGTAATTTATAGTCAGCTTAATGACATCTAACAACAACATAAGAAGTGTTGTTTCTCCCATGGAGCGGCTGGTGGATTCAAAACACTTGTCTTTTGGTTGTCAGCACAACTCCTTACTCAGCGGGTCATCAGGGCTCCTTTCTACTTATTTATAAAATTATATTAGCCAAATTACATAATCCCATTAGCTTCATTTTTAAAACAAGTGTAATCTACTTACCTGTGTCAAACAGAATCTGTCGTCTACAACCGCAAAGCTCTAGGGATAGTAAAACTGCAGGTCTAGCAAAGTAACCTGTTTGTGATTGCACCAGAGCTTTTACACCATAGGGTCAAAAGGACAAAAGAAGGAAGCAGTTCCCACACTTGGTAAGAGACTCATTTGTAGATCAGTGTTACTATAAGTATTCCTCAACTAAAGGTTGAAGAATACTTTAGTCCCTCAACAGAGGTAGCCCAAAGTTCATATGTAGCAATGAAATTAGAGAATTAACACTTTGACTTAGTTTTGTAACCAGCATCCTATCAGGAGGCAAAAGGATATTGTACAATAATCTACATAGTTAGACTCTTTTTTTTAATATGAAACACTTCACGAATTTGCATGTCATCCTTGCGTAGGGACCATACTAATCTTCTTTGTATCATTCCAGTTTTAGTATATGTGCTGCTGAAGTGAGTACCATATTTAGACTCTGGAGACAGAGTATAAGGTAGAGAAGGGTTCTAAGTGGAACTGGAAGCTCTAGAGGAAGCTCTTTGGTACACTACCTTTTATAAGGTCATTATAAAGCCTATTTCATTTAGCAGAGTGCTCCTCTACATTGAAAGCTACTCATTAGATATATTTGTTCCTATCCTTTCTTGATCATCTTCATTGCTGCTGTTAGAAGAAACATTCAGTCACAAAAGAAACATTCCAAAAGAAACATTCAGTCACAAAGTTGATGGGGTTTTGTTTTGTTTTGTTGGTTCGGTTTTGTCTGTTCATTTGGTTTTTTGTTTTCAGGAAGCTTACAATTTGAACAGAACAGTAACTTTAAAGTTCTTTTTTAGCCTGTGATCTTGAAATAATCTACACTTTTTGGCATCCTGTGTATATTTGTTTTTATTAAATTAAATAAGCCTTATTTATCTAAGAATGCAATAGTCATTTCTAATATACTTTCTTAAATATTTTCTATAAAATGTACAGAAAACAAGTCTGTAGTAGTACATGTGTAGGATGTGTGTATTAATTTTAGATACGAATATCCAATTTTTTTT